TTTTCAATCAATTGTTGAGAATTTAAAAAATGCTTGAACGAGTCTTCTCTCGGTGTAGTTGATGTGATTTTCACGACGTGTTTTCCATGTTACATGCATCCTTGTAATACACGACCCCGACTTGTTACTTAAAATCTTTCTTAATTTTTTTTTTTAAACATAAGTATTTATATTTAACATCTCATTATTGCATGAAAGAGAAATGTAAAACTATGAAAATTTATATATTATTTATTTAAATATAATGAGTGTCCTCAATCAAACCAATAACATCTAACACATGATATACGATAAATTAATTATACGAATTTTTAAATATATATTTAATAAATATGAGATATTTATGATTCACATTAAAATTTATAATTTGAATATGAGATGAAAAATGGACGTGTACAAAAAAATAGGTACCAAGAATCCACATGAGATGTATTCTAAACTTTATAAGATTTTTTAGTTAGATAAATAGGGAAAAAAAAATTCAAATAAGTTGAACGTTCCGAAATATAAAAATTAATTTTCGAAATTAGCATTCTTTATTAAATAAATATGAATTTTTATTTGTGACTATAAAATATAAGATTTGTAGATAGATAAATATGAATAAATAAATATTTAACAATTAAGTTTACGTGATTTTTTATTTCTTATTGTCTAGGGATTAATTAGGAAGATACATTTAGGATTGTGAATGTATTTATACATAAACGGTAAACCCAGAGAAAACATCAGAAATTCTATGGTGCCACATGTGACACGTGTTATGGTGCCACAACATGATGTGGCACATTATGATTGGTGCCACAACATGATGTGTGATAGTTGTGGCACCAATCACAATGTGCCATATCATGTTGTGGCACCATAATATAGTGCCACATGTGGCACCATAGAATTTCTGGAGAACACATTGGCTGCAATTAGTATATACGTGTTTTTAAAATTTTACAACCTAGAGTAATTTCTAGATTAAATGCAACATGTACTTCATGAAAATTCATAATTTGTCACCCCACATGCATCACTTAGGAGGTGATTGTTAAAAAAAGAAAAAAAACAAAAAAAACAAAATTTAACTCAATTCTTCTATCTCCAATATTATTAGTATAATTAAATAATATCAACCAATCATTTTTACACGTCACATCAACGTTAATTCACTATTCATACACTCACATAATTTTAAATAACCATCACTTGTAATTATGTATCTCCTACTTTTATATCAAATAAACTTTAGTTATTTTATTTTGAATAATATTTTAATTTAAACTTAAATACTCACTAACAACTAGTCATACTATATTTTTCAAAATTAACTATAGTTAAAAAAATCAATAAAAACCAGTTCAATCCATATCCAATCACACCATCAGTCATATAACCATATGGCAAAATTGATACGTGTACGATCAAGATGTAGAAATTGAAAATTATGAATGTTCGTGAAATTCAAGTTACGTTAAAAAAAACAGTAGAAATTTTCAAAGTTGAATATATAACCACATATAGTGAAAGGTGTATAAAGAAATGTCTCAACCCC